TGGTTATTTAGGAACCTGCATAGGCGATGACGATGCTCCACATATGGTGTAAAGGCTGAGGTTCATTAGGATTTTCTTTTGTAGCAGAGAGCGTAAGCTCCGCGAGTCGGGGGTAGCGGAGGGCTCACACCGCCACGGGTCAACCCTAGGATTTGGAGTAGTTTTTTGAACTATTTTTTGAACACTTCCTCGGGTTGTGTAGATGCGACTCCCATCGCCATCACCTCTGGTGGCCTCCCCCTACCCCCCCCCCCCCCCACCCCCCTTCTCTTCCTCGGGGAGTAAAAAACATCTGAGGAAAGGGCAAACATCCTATTTTCTCTTGCGTTCATTCCTGTGGCTTCCGCCAAAATCGCTTAAACCCATCAAGAACGATTTCCCTTCTCCCACATTTACGGCCCTTTTAATCTCTACATCGCGCTTTCAGAAGCTGATTGACTTTGGTCAACCCCAAATACAACCTACGACCCTCTCGCCAAAATCGTGAGTAAGACACACCGTTGGTACTTGCACATCGTTCTCATCTTGTACTACGAAGGTACACTTCGGAATTTCTCCCTCTTGCCCAAAACAGATTGGGGGGAATGTGTTTTTAAGTGGCACGCACACTTCCAGTCCTGTTCCCTTTTATTGGATGGCCCAGCAACTTTTTCTGAGTTTTTCGGAAAATTATTCGTTTCCCATATTTTCTGAACGAACTTCAATTGCAAAAATGCTTCGATTTTTCGAAGTACAGTCTAATGCTTAGCCTTTCTAAAGTGGCTGACGCGCAACCTGGCCACATGCTTGAAATGATAACCTCATTATGGGGGGACAACCGGAGGCTATGCGTTTGTGTGCTTGCACTGCACAGAACTGCAAATGTGTCGAGAGAAAAAGTCGTGTATGGTCACTGGAGGGAGAGAGCGCGTGCCGTGAGTGGATACATTTTGCTAGACAGTTCGTGAGATGGTGCGGTACGCTGTGAGGCGGTGGACAAAGGGGGTGTCGAGGACGCCGTAGTGTTGCAGAGGTGACATACGGGCGAGAGCGGCAGGAGGCAGAGCTGTTACTACCGTCAAAGGCTACCCATGCAGTCGTTGTTTGTGTCACTATCGGACCCGTTCGTCGCGTCCACACCTATCTCCCATTCTAGTCATCTAGTCACTGAACAATATGGCTCAACCTAAATTCAAGAAGCAATCATCACAGAAGCGTACCTATGAACCGGCAACGGATTTCCCTGGAAAAGGTAGGGTTTTCGGAGGTTACCCTCGCTGGTATTGTTTACGACAGTGTGAACACTAGGGCTGAATGTTCTGCCAGAAGTGGCCGTTTGGTTCTAGAGATCGTTCCAAGTCGTTCGAAGATGCTACCCTTGTTTGTCCTTTGATCTCCTGCTTACACCTTGTGGTTCCCGGCCCCTAATTTTGAGTGGGCATTACCATCCAGGGGTACGAAACAGTTGCACTGCTCTTACATATTCCAGATACTACTGGTACAGCCTTTGTAGCCACTTTTTTCATCGTCTTTGAGCCATCATAAGGCCAATGGAATAGGGTTGTTGTCGGCCTTGACCATACTGTTGATAACATCGAATATCCGAAAGACGATGGGTGATATATTGGCTGCTGTTGAATGAGTTTTTTCGATTCATCACATTTTTTTTCAGTGTATCTTGATCGATAATTGATTGGTATGATTTTATTGATGGTGTTCTTATGTCTCTTTAATTGCAAGGATTCCATTGCATTTATGGTAGGAGGGCATATACTGAAGGTTTTCAAAGCCCATTGTAGGAGTTGAGGAAAAGAAGGGGACTGCTAATATACTGCTCATCCTTGTGATACTTATTTATTTTTGAGTTAGGGAGCGCGCTAAACCATGACAGTGCTAGGCTGAAACAAGGCTGGTCGAGTATGAAAATTCATAATCATTAAACGACAAAAAAGAAAAAAGTAGCAAACAAAAACTCAATAAGGACTAAACGATGCCCTGGAAATGAGGCTACGGCAGATAAGAGGATGAGAAGTAAATGGGGTGCCACGAAGAACGCTAAGGACAAACTTTTTGGAAATGGTCTCTTCTTCTAAGGGGGAGGCCCAATTTTCAGCCGAAGACTAGTTTGATAGGTCAGTTCTTGAGGAATGAGTATCCGCTTGAGAATTGTGTTATACAAGTGGTTGAGAACTTTTTTCACCCCGGATGTTTTCCGGCCGTTGCCGGGCAATACATTTTTCTTGACATTCACCTCGTTGCAAAGCTGTTTGTCCATCGTTGCAAAGGTCATAATCTGATCGCTGTGAAGGTTACGCCGTTGCGGAGCGATCGTTAGAGTTGGCCGACGTCGATCACCAGCTATTGACCGCAATTGATAACATCATATTCGGCCTTAGCGAATGAATCCCTTACACACGAGGTTTCTGGTGACCGCGGACGGCAGTTTTTGTAGTTCAAGGACTGGACAGTTTTTTTTTAGGTTTGATGGCGAATGGGCGTCATATGTTATCGAAGAGTTCGGCCTTAATAAGTCAAGAATGTAAATGTGCTGCGAACCGGCCCGTTTTCGTTTTTATGAGGTCGTAGCTATTCGTTTCTATGAGTGGGAAGTGTTTAGGCATCCCCGAGAATAGCTGGAGTGCTTTGAATAGACCTATGATTGTAGCCATTTCCAACCGTTTCATTTGCCCCATGAGGCTCTTAAGTGGGGCGATCTGTACGGGTTGAGGTTTGGGTAAATGTAAAAAAGTATCGATCCAGTATATTTTGTACCTCGAAATTACTGCAGTTCCGTTGCCCACAGTTAGAAAAAAAGGGGGGGGGGAGGTTAGAAGAAGGGTCAAGGAACAAAGGGAAGGGAGTATACCGTTATCAGTGCTTATCAATGACAGCGCGGAGCTTTTTAGTTTTGGCACCTGTCTTTTGGCATTAATTGTTGCCAAGTTCTGATAAGTAGCTCCAACGGCGTACAATTTAGATGCAAAGCTCAACTAAATGCTAACCAACAATGAGAACCTCCAAAAATCTATTTCAGAAAGCTTTTCAAAATGTTCTGCAATACTCCGGTGCCCAACATATTCGCTAGAGCTGAAGTAGTACTTATACTGAGGGACAGTATGGAAGGTGTATGTATTGGATTAGCTTAAGTGCGGCGTTTGCCTTGAAGTCCAAACTTACCCCAACGAGGAACTCTTCAGGACAGCATATTAATGAGAAATAAAGGTTCAGTTGTTCCCTCAATACTCGTGTGGAGTTATACTGCCAGTTGGGCAAGAAACGTCTTCTTATTCTTTAGCGTTTGTCCCACCCTGTGGCGGGGTCCGCTTTCCTGGTATTACGACGCCACTTTTCCCGATTATGTGCCTGATCGGGGTGAAGGCCAACTAATTTCAAATCCTCATGCAACGTATCAAGCCATCGTTGCTTCGGGCGTCCTCTTGGCCGCTTTCCTGGCACGTTAAAGTCTAGACCGATCTTACGGACACTCTCATCATTAGCGCGAAGGACCGTACCACCTCAGGCGAGCTTCGCGCATCTTATCAGCGATGGGAGCCACACCGAACCGCTTTCTGATGGTATCGTTGCGAATGTGGTCCAAACGCGTGACCCCGGCAGTCCAGCGCAGCATTTTTGTCTCCATTACAGAGACGAGCCTCAACCTCTTTAGTCACGGGCCAGCACTCTGCTCCGTAAATGGCGACTGGTCGGACGACGGTTCTGTAGATCTTAGATTTCAGTCGCTCTGGTATTTTCTTATCGCAGAGAACGCCGGTCATCGAGCGCCACTTGGACCAAGCTGCACTCACCCGGGAGTTTACTTCAGAGATCAGGCTGCCGTCGGACGCGATTGCCGACCCCGTGTCCAACCGCAAAATCTTCTATCAAAGGTGTTAAGTTCAGTGTTGTTCAGGAATGCTCATCTGAGTTTCACTTGACTGGAACTTCCCATTCGCCCTGAGAACTGAACAGGGTAGGACCAGTAAGCTGGTGAAGGTTATGGTGAGTTACCACCTGACATGTGGAAACGAGCGCCAGCTTAGAACCTCGTAAAAGACGTCGTTAGAGCGACATCTGGGAACTCTTTTGGATGAGTCAATCTTTAGTAGAAAAAATGGGAAAAGAATGTAGTCGCAGTCGGCATGCATAAGAAAGAGGCGCGGTCCAGTTCGCCCTGTGTAATAGCCGTCCTCTGGTGGTGGAGTTGTAGCGATGTCGCAGCTTTATTGTTAGTATTGATTTTACTATTTTGTATTATAATATTTGAGAACGTATCAAGTTACTGCAGTCGGGGTAACCTGGGTACGTAGTCATGAGATCAGGGCTGTGTGCAGCATTTTCTCGGCCAGACAGGGGAAGTTCTTTTTTTTGTAGAGATTTTTCTTTGAACGAAGAAAAAGCGTGAAACCTTTCTTAGTGAACGTTTTATTTTTAGCTTTCTCATTTTACGCGCCCATGTGCCTTACCAATATGCATTTCTTTTGAAAAATTTCTTGGTTTTTCCTTGGGACAACAAAATTAAAGGGAATCTGAGCCATCCTTGGTCCTGGAATGCAACACCTGGACCCTGGGTGGAATAAAGAAAGAAACAAGTTTGATCTTAGCTTCATTTAGCTTCCATTCCACTTGCTTTTCAATTTCGAGGGGCTTGAGCCTTTTTTGCTAGGGTAATGCAATTTTTATCACGCGTATTAAAAATGACTTTTTCATGCGAGTTTTCAAACTTTTGGACAGTGAAAATAGGTAGAGGTTCCGCATTGATTTGCACTCAAGCGCTCAGTATTAATCACAATTTTTATGGCATTGTGATGGGAATTGTTTGGTTGCTGCCAGCTGCTCAACTGTAATGGAAATTAATGGTGGAAAACCGATGCGAATGGCCGAATCGATAGATTCGTTGTTGTGAAATCGCCCCGTCCGATCTTCCGAGGAAACCGTCGGAACGTCGTCGACTCCTCCCTCTCCTGTAATTTTATATCGAAGTGTTCAGTAACATATTCCGGCATCGCGCCCGTCCTCTTACAATGTCGTCTCGATCGACTTATGTCGAGGGAGAGAGTAAGTAGTACGAGAGTTATTGTTATTGTTCGTGCAAGTGGACTTGTATAATAATAGGCTGTACTTATGATGAAGCCATGTAATACAGGCCATACAAGGAGGAAAGGGGCTTTCCTAGTAAGTTAAGAGTTCGGACCTAGACGGTTTTCGGTGGTCATTGATGTTGTGCAAGTTGAAGTAGGGGGGTCGAGTTTGAGGCCCGAAAATTGTTAAGGAAGCCCTTCAAGGCTAGACAGGAACTATTTACAAATTAGCGATTAATCGATTGATTAACCAATTCAGTATATTTTTTTTTCAGTTTTGGAGTTGCTGTACTGGCGTGATCCTAAAAAGAGTGCCGTAGCTCTATCGCTGATTCTCGTGGCCGTGTTCATCCTTGGAAAGTGAGCTCTTTTTTATTTGAATATTTTATGG